CTATAAAATTCGTTTTCCTCTGGTTTATTCATCAAAGGTCTCTTTGCAAATTGCTAACACCTCCTCAACTGGATCAAGAACAGAGCTGTCCACACTTGGGCAGCACTAGTGGGAATGATCAGAGCGGGCATTCTAGGTAGAAGATAGGCACAGGAGTGGAATGTGAAGATGGCAGCAGCAGAGCATTAAGCCAACACTGGGCCTTTGTGAGGGTGTGGCCTTGTGTGATCAGTAACACAGGCCACACACCCACGGAAGCAGCCTTGGAGAAGGGACATGATCAGGGTTATTTCTGGTTGATTCTGGCCTACCTGAACTTCCCCTCCTGAACTGGTATCTACTTGCCCCACCTGCACTTCATTTTCCTCGCCATAAAGCCATGAACCACATGCTGCTGCTGATCTGGGATCTATATCTATAAAAAAAGCTTTGCTGTCTACAGAAGCAGCACGTTAAAATATATGAATGCTCATTACTGGCTAATGGTGAGTCTACTTCACAATAGGCTGGATGTTTATCACGTAGAAGGCCATGGAGAGTGTGGCATGCTCCCTCTTCTACATGCTATTTGACCTAGTAATTATCTTTAACCGCTGTAATGTGAATGACTGCTGGGGAAAATATTAAAGTAGTGAAAAGCTGTGTGAAACTATGAATGTTCGAGGTAAGGAATTCCCTTTATGGTGAGAGCACTGGCTTTGGAGGAGGCAAAAATAGCAGATGGAGTGTCTGTAATGAAATTATTTGAAAATTGGAGCAGGCAAATTTTTAATTTATAAGATATAGGACTATAGTATCTATGTTTAAAAGTTTTAGTGATGTAAATCTGGATGGTTTATTGAGACGAAATGGAACCCCACCCTGAGGTAGCCTATAGAACAGAGCCCAAAGGCCTCTGCTTGGGATTCTGGACAAGCACGCTGTTTAAGTGAGGCAGAGTCTGAGCCAGCCAGTCCAAGTTGAATCTGTCTCTGGCTTTCATGGTGGTTTATGGTAAACTATTTTATCTGCCAGGACTCCCTCATCTGCAAAACGAGTAACGTAACAGTGCCTCAGTCATAGGTTGTGTGAGGATTTCGGGAGCTGCATGGAAAGCTCCCCTTCTGTGGTAAGCACGGAGAAAATGGCCGCTTCTCTTATGGTGATGGTTGCTGTTGTCATACAGTCTGGCCCCCGCCTGCCTCTCAACATGATTTCCTGTCACTTCCTCTCATTCTAGGCCAACCGGGGCAAACTAAACTGCCCATGGCCCCCTGCACATACTCTGAAGATCCTTGGCCTTCTTGTGTTGCCCTCGCTGTGCATAGGCCAAGTAACCACTTGGAGGGGATGTTGCAGAGGCGAATTGAAGCCACAGAAGGGAACTGAGTGGAATGAGATTCCCTTTAAAGTTGCTTTAGGCTCTAAGATGCCCTTAGATCAACAAAGTGAACAGGCAAATTAGCAGCACAACATTCGATGTGCTCGAGGGTGTTCTTCAACTCCTGTCTGGGTGCCTGGGATCCTCCCGTCATTTTTAGCACACTAGCCCAGGGAACCTTCTGTTCCGGGGTACTGAGCACAGCGGGGAGACCCCAGGGGTGGAATCCTGGAGAAGCATTTCAGTGAACTGTAAGGCAGACACGGGGCCTCACGGAGGCGGTAGGCTTGGCTGACAGCCCTGGGTGTTTGCCCTCCAGCAAGGGCCTGAAGGCCCCTCAGGGCAGTTTCCTCAGCAGTGAAATGGGGATCTGAGTACCCCCACAGAGGGCGTGAGTTGAGTCAGCGTCCACAGTTAGTCTAGTAAATCTCCTTTCCTCCCTTCTCCTTCCTCTCCCTGTCACTGGGGGGGGGGGGGAACTCGGGCAATGTGTTTTAGGGGATTTAGAGGAACAGATGGAGACTACCCGGGTTACAGGAGAAAGCGGGCTGCAGGCAGGGGGGCAGATGGTAGGAGGCCCCAATGCCCAGACAAAGGGATATGGGCCGGAGGGAGTCAGGAGCCGGTGGTCTTGCTGTCGTCACCGCTCCCCTCTTCCTCCTCCTCTTCCTTCTTTGTGCACATTTCATAGGTTCAAAATAGCAGGGCTCGTGTTCATGAGCGCAGACTCGCAGGGCTGCCTCCCAGCACGGGAAACAGCTACCAGGCTGCCCCAGGCCCACCCTCGGAGGCAAAATAAAACACAGTGTGCTGGGACAGCTCTTCCTGCTTCCAGCAGCCTGCTGGGGCGTGTGTGTTTGTGTGTGTGTGGGGGGGGGGCGCCTTTCTCTGTGGGCTTTCCTGGCACTCTTTTCCAGGGCGCTGTGACCCGGGCTGGGGAGGGAGGGGCAGGTGCCAGATGGGCTCTGGATTCGCCTTTCACTGGGGGGGTCCCTGGCCAGCAGGTGCTTGCAGGGCGCCTGCCCTCTGCCTTCCCCACTGGCAGGGCCAACTCCCACCTCACGGTTGCTGTGCCCAGCACATGGCACCCCACCTGCACTGGCAGCTCCCAGGAGGCAGGACTTACCCCAGAATATTGGACTTATCTGGGGAAGGAACTAAGTCCCAGGTCCGAGTGGGCCAGAGCTGAGTTCAAGGACCTTCCTTGCTTGAGCGGCCGGTTCTGCACCGCCGGAAATCTTTCCTGAGTAACGACTGTCACACCGTGGGAATGAAGCATTCTGCTCCTTCTCACTCTTCCGGGGTTCTTGGGTGCAGACTCAGGGGACAGGGGTGAAGACTTTTATGTACAGAATTAGTTGAGGGTGCCTACCGACTGAGCCACCACCATGCGTCTCTAAGTCTCAGTTCTGGTCTGTGTAAAGCTCCTCTCATGAGAAACAGCGGGCACAAAAGACAAAAACAAACGTACAGGCCCAGTACAGTATGTGACTGATGAGGCATCCACCCAGTGGAAGCTGTTATTTCTTATTTGCTATAAAACTAACAAAGGATCTCATTTTCATTGCTACCTTATCAGAGAAAGAACTACTGTAAAAACATCTAAAACTGTGATGAATCCCAAACACCAAAGACACTTTTTCTCATCTGAAATAATTTTTTCTGCCACCCTAAACAATAATGATAGTAACGGTACAAAGTCCTTACTAAATGTCAGGCACCATTCCAAACATCCGGGACTTCCAATAACCCTGGGAGGCAGATACGGCCTTGAGATCCTGTTTTATGGATGCAAAAACTCTGGCACAAAAAAATGAATTCATGGCCTGGATCACACAACTCTTTAGAATATACTGTGAGTTTCCGTTTCTCTCCAGCCGCCTCATCCTCTCCTTGTCACTGTCTCTCCGTCCCTGGCAAGTCGGCCAGTCGTGCGCCATAGGGTGGAAGCTGGTCCTCTCAGCAAAGTGTTCTTCCTCTCTCTAGCCCCTGGCCCTCTTTATATCAACACCCAAACACAGCAGCAGGCTGCTTGTTACCAAACTAGAAGAATCCTCCTCCAGACGTTTACAAGCTTCCACTCCTCCAACTCCTTAGGAGACTTGGTTTCTGCCAGGCCTAACCTTTTCAAAGGAAACGGCCTCTGGGAGAAGCAGCCAGAGCCTGTGCTGGTGAGTGTCTCTAATCCGAGAAGACAGCAGCAGGGAGGAAAGAAGTGCTTTTTGACAGCTGCTAGACAAGGGGTGGGGAGGGTATCATACAACCTCCAGAAGCTGTGTCAGTGCAACACAGCTGCCAGCTACCGCAGGCCAAATATTCACACTGCACTATCCTTTCTGTCTCAGCGGTGAAGTGGACTCAGGCCACTCAACCAGGGCTGGGGCCGGAGGGACGTGTTAGCTGAGAGGTGACGGCCTGTGCCCCCTGAAATGATTCAGTTTCCCCATCCGAGAGCAGAATGGCTGCCACTCAGCAGGTCATGAACTGGGGATCCAGGGGGTCCCTGGCCTGCCCATCCCTCCTCTCTCTACCCAGGAGGAAAGACGACGGAGGAATGGGGAAGCCCAGCGGCTCCTGCGGGGGGCTTTTAAGAGCCTGTTGCGTGGACGCGGAGGCCCTGTGAGACAGCACCCTGTGCCACAAACATGGTCAGCAGGAGGTTTCTGGAAACCTGGGCGCAGAGAGGAGAAGAGGTGCTGTGCGCACGAGCCTCAGGGCCCCGCGGTGGCCAGGGGGCCGTTTCCGAGCTGCCCGCTCTCCCGGCCGCACCGCGGCAGCCCCTCGGCGCGTGTGTGCAGCCCGCGGGCCTCGGGGCGGAGGGCCAGGGCCACCGTGGAGCGGCGTGGAGGCCGCTCCGGGCGCGCCGCCTCGCCGCGGGACCTACCTGCCGCGCTCGCTCGGGAGGCTCTCGGCTGAGCCGCGCCCTCGCGCCCGCCCGGCAGCGCGGTCTGGTCTGGGGCGGGCGTCCAGCCGAGAGCCCCGCGGGGCCGCGGCCACCCCGTCGCGGGGGGCGCGTCCCGGCCGCAGAGCAGAGCGGGGGTCCCCGCGCCCCGCCGGGCAGGGCGCAGCCCCCGTCTCCGGGGTTGGGGAGCGCCGGAGGCGCCCGCCGAGGCCCTGCGGCCGGCGGGTGCTGCAGCGCCGGACTCGGGCGCCCCCAAAATGCGGGCGCCGGGGAAGCGCGGAGGCCACCGTGACACGGCGAGAGGCGCAAGGGAGTCGGCGCGCCTTCCCCGCCGCCCGCGCCGGGCAGGCCAGGCCGCGGGGACGAGGCCGCGAGGGGCGCTGCGGCGCCGGGCCGGGCCGGGGTCGGGGCGAGGCCCGGGGCCGGCCGCCGCACAGGGGCGCCGCGGGGAGCGGGGGAGGGGGCGCGGGGAGCGGGAGAGGGGGCGCGGGGAGCGGGGGAGGGGCGCGGGGGAGGGGGCGCGGGGAGCGGGGGAGGGGCGCGGGGGGGGGGGGGCGCGGGGAGCGGGGGAGGGGGCGCGGGGAGCGGGGGAGGGGGCGCGGGGAGCGCCGGCTTCCGCCCCCGCGCGGCGCAGGTGGGGCGCGGGGGCCGCGGGCGGGGCGGGGCGGGGCGGGGCGGGCGGCCGCCTGACGTCACCTCATTTGCATAGCGGCGCCCATATAGCGGCGCCCGCGCGCCCCGCCCGGCACTCCGCGGCGACCCCGGCTCCGACGCTCCTCGCAGCCTGCGCCTCGCTCGGTGAGCCCCTGCCCCGCGCGCCCTGCCCCTGCCCCGCGCGCTCTGCCCGCCCCGCACCCGAGCGCCGCCGCGAGCCTCCGGGAGGGGCCCGGCCGCGGGGAGCCCAGCCCGGGCGGGCGGGGGGGGCTGCGCTGCCCGCGAAGCCCGGCGGACACGGCGCCCGCTCTCCCCGAACGCGCCCCGCGCGGCCGCCCGGGCAGCGCTCGCGCCCGGCACCAGGCCCTTTGTCCCGGCCCCCGCCCCGGCGCGCGGCTCCTTCCACGCTGGCTGCGGGCGCGGGCGGGCGTCCCTCCCTCCCCCCCTCCCTCCGTCCCGGGCAGGTGCCGCGGCCCGACCCCCCGCGCGCCCGGCTTTGTGTGCGCCGCGGCGGGGACGCGCGCGGGGCGGTGGTCGGAGGCGCCGGCCGAGCTGCCGCCTTTGTGAGGCCGGGCGGAGCGGGACGCGCCCCCGCCGGGGGCCCCGCATGTCGAAAATGGGGAGCCCTTGTGCGGCCCTACCCTCATTTTAGGAATTTTCACTCGACTCCCCCGCCCTGCCCCGCCCTTAGCTGGGAAGGGGCTCCCGCGTCCTCCCTCCGTGCGCCCGGGTCTCCATGTGTGCGCGCTGCGGTCACCCGCGGCCTCCATCCCGCACCCGGGAGGATGCGGCCCGCACCGGGCAGCGAGCGCCCACCCCGGCCCCGCGCTCGGAAACGGCGCGGGAGCAATGGCGGGGTGGGGGGGGGCGTCTTTTTCCTGTAGAAAGAGGAAGACTCGGGCCCGGGGAAAGCGGAAGGAGGCAGAGGTGTGGCTTCAGCGCAGAGCCGGGGAGACGGGGCCGTCGCGCCCGCAGAGCCGAGGGTGGGTGGCCGCCCTCATCCTCCCTCTCTGCTTTGTGCCCGCAGCTTCCTCTGCAACCATGTCTGACAAGCCCGATATGGCCGAGATTGAGAAATTCGACAAGTCGAAATTGAAGAAGACAGAAACGCAAGAGAAAAACCCACTGCCTTCGAAAGAAAGTAAGCGCCCCCTGCCCCCCACCCCCGAGAAAAGGCTGGCGTGGCGGGCGGGTGACAAGGACGCTGGGAGTGGCCCGGAGAATGGGGGGAGCCCACAGTTTCTATGGTGCATGTGGCCGGGAAAGGTTAGATCAAGATTGTTTTGCAGCCAACACAGCAAGGCTTCAATAATTTTATAATGAGTATGTCCTATACCATGTCCATGCGCATGTCCTTTGATCTGCCCCAATGTCCTATTTAATATCAGTGTTTCATGATCAATGCCCGTTGCCACATGGAGAATTCCTGATAGGGAAGGGTGTTGTGAAAGAAAGGCGTGTCATTGCACACTAGGCTCTACTGGATTCTCACAGTCGGTCCCCTCCATCTTTTTCTCTTTTTGTCTTTTTCCGGTCACAGCGATTGAACAGGAGAAGCAAGCAGGCGAATCGTAATGAGGCCTGGGCCACCAATATGCACTGTACATTCCACAAGCATTGCCTTCTTATTTTACTTCTTTTAGCTGTTTAACTTTGTAACATGAAAGCAGTTGGATCGAGTTTGAATGACTGTGCTGCCCCTTTTCACATCGAAGAGAACTACTGCCAAGGAAGGCGCGCCTGCCTCTCCCATCTGCCTGTCAGGCTGCGGGGAAGGGAAAGAACTGGCATGTTGGCGAAGGAAGAAGCTCGTGGGACGACAGTGAAATCTAGCGTAAACACCCCGTTGGTCCAAGGTGTCCTGCAGGCTGTCCAATGCAGTTTAATCAGAGTGCCATTTTTTTGTTCAAATGATTTTAATTATTGGAATGCACAATTTTTTTAATATGCAAATAAAAAGTTTTAAAACCTGGCTGGTGTGACTGTTTGGTGTCTGGAAGGGAGCGGCGTATTTCCAGATGAAACCATGGCAAAAGGGCCTGCCTCGGTCTCACTGGGGAACAGTAAAAGATAAACATCTGGTAATTTGGTAAATTCTCCGCCGGCCTAGAAAGGGGCTTCAGCCAGGTATGTGCAATACTTCCTCTGTACTAGGTGATGGGAGATGGTTTTCTTAGGCTGGTTGAATTCCCAGTATGAGTTACGAAAACCAAATATATGTGCAGTTCTTAACTTCCAGGGGGTTTGATAAGCCACAAGAAAAAGTCGATAAATCACTGCGAAGTGTTTCTCTAGGTATCAAACTGAACTTGGCTATTTAGCCAGTTAACAGTACTGACACAATGTGAAGGGTCTTAGATAAAAAGTAGAAATGACATTTGAGATACAGGCTTCCTCTTTAAATAATTGGTTTCCAATTAGCATTCAGTCTTTAAAATTGCCTTTGCAAAATGATAAGCACACTTGACATAATGCATATTAATATTGAATATTAATAATTTGAGAAAACCTGGCGTTCAAGGGCAAGAAGGAAATTTGTGCTAAGCTTAATTCCAGTAAGGTTTAATTGACTTATCTCCAGGGTTTGCCTTTCTCGAGTCCCTAAAACTTCTCAATTTGAAGAACATACTTGAAGGTCACTAAAACCCTAGTCCTCTGCACTTAAAGCTCAGAAAAGGAGAACTGAGGGGTTGGTCTTTTATAACAGGGATGCCCTTAAACATCCTGAATGGATTCCTCTGTTACATAAGGGAAGGTGCAAATACTTTTTCAAAAAGAAAGCAATTCTATTATGCAGAGACAGCATTAAGTCCGGTGTTCTCCCAGCATCTTAGCAGATTCACCATGCAAAGGATCAACAACTTAAACTCCCTCCCCCCTTCCCCCCCAAAACCGGACTTATAAAAATATTCTTTGTGAAGGGGAGGGGGTGCAGGGCAAATTGTTGATCATTAGGCCAGATGATTTCATTTCCTTTGCTTGACACTCATTTTGAGAAGTGCACAGGAAACCATTCACCTGTGGTTTAGACAATCAAGTAGACCATCGGCTAGAGGCCTTTCTGCCCTGCAAGGGAGGGGCTGTGTACCTGTGGCTGCAGAACCCGCAGTGGCCAAGCCATCTTGATGGAGAAAGACAAGATGCCTGCACGCAGAGGGATGAGAGCCTTCTCAAGATGGCCCTGGCCCCTCCAGCCCTGCCTTGGCTTTTCCTGCCTGCCGGGAAGGGCGTGGGCAGTGAGACCGACCCGGGCACAGAGAGACACCCGGCCCAAGGAGGTTTTTGCAGCATGCGTGCATTTTTCAAACAACGCAAGGATGAAATCAGAGTTGAAAAAATGAATACACCTTGAGTGTTGCTCTGTTTAAAAACTAAGCTTTGGGCCTCCCCGGTGGTGCAGTGGTTGAGCGCTGGGTTGCGAAGCTGCCCGCAGCCTCTGCAGCGCCGGTTCGATCCCGGCTGCTCCCCGGCCCCTGGGTGAGGGTCCCAGATGGCGCGCAGACCTCTCCTGCCGCCCGCTGCTCCCCTCAGCAGTGAACTTGGGTCCTTCTGCCTGCTCTGCTCCCCGCTCTGGCTCTGGTGAATTCTCTCACCCTCCCGCGCTTCTGACTGAGAAGCTTGTATAAATAAAAATAAATAAATCTTTAAAAAACAACAACAACAACAACAACAAAAAACTAAACATGAGCACTAAGGGAAAGGGGGTAATTCCTGAAGTCAAGGGATGAGACAAGACTTCTCTCTCCTGGGAGGACAAAGGTAAATCGTACTGCCCCCTCCCCCCGACCCTGCCAAAGTCAAATGAAAAATCTGGTCATTGAAGTGTGTCTGCTCGGGCAGAGAGATGGGGAAAATCAACAGCTTCTGCACCTGTCACACATCACACACACTGATGCAGTGGGAGAGGCTTTTTTTAAAAAATTGTTTGACGGGGAAAGAGAATTCTCTTTTCTTCCCAAGGAAGAATCTTCCCAGGAGGGGGTGGGGTGGGGTGGGGGGTATTAACAAATCAGTATGGAAACTTGGACTCCTGATATTGAGGAGCTGGGAGGGGACAGGAGGATACAAGGGATCACACCAGTGGCAGGAGACCCAAACTACCACATCTCTGCCCCCCACCCCCAACCCCACCTCCACCACCACCTCCAGGAGGAAACAGGCCAAGGGAGTTTACGGAAGAGGTAAGAGCGAAGGTCACAAGGCCCAGTGCGGCGTGTCTGCAAATTTTGACCTGATCAGGAAGAAAAATGCAAATAGAGAGGAAACAGGCTCGCTGGAGGACTCAGCACAGCCCTGTAGTCGCTTTTTAAATCTCACAAATTTCTCAACCACTGCAACCATATTTTCCAGCCTTTCGGCCTAAAACTACTTTCTTTCAGATCAGCGCAGCCTTGGAGATGTGTGTGGAAGGATCGAGCGTTAGGGGCAGTGCTGGGAGGCAGGCAGTCTCAAGAACCGCTGACCCTCTCCCTTTGAAGGACCTTTCACACCCGACAGTTGCACCTTCCCCCACACCCGTGTGGGCGAGAGCGCGACACTGTCTCCTTTAACTGCACCGCGAAGATCTATTTATTTTCCCCAAAGAAGCATCTAATGTCTCAAGGCACAACAATGAGGCAATTTTGTATATTTCTAAACATAGAGGACCATTTTAACGCTTACTAGAAAGAACCACATTATGATCAAAAAGTAAAAACAAAAAACCTTGAGCCTTTCCTAGCTGAGAATGTAAGTGGACATTGTTTAATAACATTGGCGCACTTAATACTTGATTTACCCTAGTAGCCTTTGCTGGCGTACCAGGAGAATAAGAAAATTACCCTTTCCCCAGCGCCCTTCTGCACCCCCTCCCCAAATTGTTCCTTTTAAAAGCAGCTGATCCTGCAATCTAAGAGAATTAATCACACCCATGTGAAGTTCAACTATATATATATATTTTTTAAATATTCAATGAATTACGTGGTAATGACAATTTTTATTTTAGAATACTGTTTTTCCTTGTTAAAAAACATTCTTGAGGGTCTCCCCGGTGGCACAGCGGGTTGAGTGCAGCACTATGAAGCTGTCCGCAGCCTCTTCAGCGCGGTTCTATTCCCAGCCGGCCAGGGAGCTACCCACATGGCGCGGCAGACCTCTCCTGTCTTGCCCGCTGCTCCCCTCAGCAGTGTCTTTGGTCTGTCTGCCTGTTCTGTTCCCCACTCTGTCTCTGGTGAATCCTCTCACCCCCACCCTCTGGCCTGTACCCCAGTGCTTGTATAAATAAATACATAATAAAAATCTTTAAAAAAAAATCCTTGAATAAAACTATTTCATTATCACATATTTTTAGTATGATGTACAATGTAGCCTTCAGAATAGAAAATTCCTTTTTTTTTTTTTTACCCTACTCTGCTACTATGGTTCTAGTATATAGCCTTAGGAAGAATAGTGTCTTTTCTACAGCCATAAGCATTCCAGTGTCTGTTTCTCTTCTAATACTGAATACTAAAGTTAGAGTAATCAAGTTTAGAGATGGTTTTTTCATTTGAAAAGTCCACTCGGTCAGTTCGAGAACTGGGGTTCCCCACTTTGCTCAGCCAGGACTTCATGGAATTGACTTTCTCTTCGGGGCCTTGGACTTGGCCTGTCACAGTGCCTTTGCTGCTGTTCATCACCCAGCCGAGCACGCCTATCTTCTTCGCCTCGCCTTCAGCGTACCTGCTGAAGCAAACACCCCGCACTCTCCTGAACACCTCCTAGTCCACGGATTTGAGGGAGCCGGCGGTAGACATGAGCCCTCTGCTGAGGAGCTGGAGGGGGCTTCGGGGTGCGGCAACTACGGCTGCCGCGAGAAGGAAGGGGCACACGGGAGCGCTGGGCGCACCCCGCGCCTGGCAGCAGCCCGGGACGCGAACGCGCCCTCAACTATATTTTATTTGCCCATAATGAGAAGGGATAAAATTACAAATTGCAGACTCAGATGTGCAGTGAAGTGAGCTGTGGAGAACAGGCTCTGAGATCTCCATTTGCCTGGCTTCGCTCTTCAGGGGATACTCGTACAGCTTTTCTCTCTTTAGTCTTGGCTTGGGAGACTTCTGTGCGCAAGGGTGTCTCCATAGGAGTGGACACAGATGCTCTTTCCCCTCTCAATTGACGGAGACTTCATTTAATGTGCTTGTTTTAGGGCTACCTTTGAATCCACGAATGCCATGACAGATTGCACAATTTTAAATATATTTTTGAAATATATTTAAAGAGCTTTGAACACTAAGCGGCCACTGGCTTCGGGTGTGCTGATTTACAGCCAACGGTGTATTACGAAGTTAGGCCACTGGGTCATAGCTCCCTGCAGCATTTACTAACTGCCCAGTAGGTAGCCAGTATTTTCTTTGCCACAGAGATAGTCATAAGAAAGATGCAGACCCTCATCTCAAGTCATCCCCTGGCCAAAGATGCTCTTTCCATCCAAATTTGAGTAGAAAGTGCTATGAACTTCTTCTTTTCCACTTTTAGGGTGAATGATGAACTGTGTTGGGGTGAATGATGAATTGTTTTGAAGTTTTAAATGGGTTCAGATTGATTCTTTGCTTTAGTGTGGACATTTCCCCAAATGTATCTCTAAAGATTACATTCAGATTCCTCCAAATGCTCAATGGTGAGTGAAAGTTGATGGAAACCACCAGCTTCTCCACATCACAAGCAAATATTTTATCAGTATAACAAACATAATAAACAGCATAATAATCTGGCCTGTTGTCTTTCGATAATCCTCTATGAGGAATGCTGAGATTTAGGAATGGGATGAAAGGATATTATTTTAAAACCCATCGTCTAGGATTTTTATGATTTCGATGCTAAATTTCCAGAGAAGCACTGCTTATTGCTAAATGCTTACCCTTCCTCTGTCAGTCTTTCTCCAACTGGACTGTGAGGCTATTGGGGACAGAAACAGGCAATGGAATTTTGAAAGTCCTTAGAAAACGTAGCAAAAT